GGTAGAGAGGACAGAGCCAGACCATGCAGCTTCACTAGAATAGAGTGCCTCTCACAATCATTTTGCTGAAGATGAGAAAGAACTTTAAACTAGTTGTCTTCTCAAGTAAATAATTGTTGGTAACACTGTGCCATTATGTTTCCACAGCCAGTAATTTTATCCCACGTAGAAAGGTGCTAGCATTTCTGGTTAATATACTGTGATATCCTTAGCCCTGGGTTCATTCTTGTCCACCAACATACTTAGGAAGTAGTTCCAATTAATCCAGCAGAAATTATTGAGGAATTGTTCCATGAGAGGCACATTTAATAAAGATTCAAACATGAAATGCAGTCCAAAAAGTCAGATGCCTGCTCATACTCCAGCTCAGTGCCCTGCTCTATTTGAGAAAAGCCTCGGAGGTGAAAGTATAAAATGCCAGAAGATATTTTGCCAGCATGTTTGCCATACAATGTTAACCTTGAAGATCTACAAGAAGGCAGAATGTCCTGGGCCGCAGTTAGGAGAGGACTGTTCTGGGAACCAACTGCCTGCACGTTGAACACAAGGGCTACCTGTCCTTATGTCTCAGGGAGTGTTCTGTCCATGTCCTGTTGCAGCGACTCATGTGAAATGTGGGGTGCTGGTTATTTTTATACTGAAAGAAGGATTGCTTAGCCCAGGTATTCTAAGTTTAATGCAGCAAATTTTAGGATAAAATCCAGCTTGAAACAGATTGCTGACTATTTAAGTCGAGGAGTTGATTTAACTGGGAAAAAAAAAGAAAAACATTTCTGGTTCAAAAAAAAAAGCTGGAGAAGGGGAGCATTTCGAGTGGGAGAAAAACATATCTGTTCAAAAGAGCCAAGACATACAACTTAAGGAGAAAACATCTCCACCCAGCAGGAAAGCCAGCTGAAATGCCACAGAAAAAGAGATTCCTCTTGCATCATCTTATCTAAGGACTTATAGAAGCTTAACTCAAAAGAATCCATCCCTGTTGATGTTCATATTCTTGGTGACAGTTTGAATTTCTGTGTTTACAAGCTTTGTAGGGACTCAGAGTTCTTTAGGATTTTTCCCTTTTTATTGCATGTCAACAGTGTTGAGAACACTTTGAGGACAGTGGCTAGGTGTCTCTGCACAGTTAGACTTGGATTTAGGACAACAAAAACAATCCATATTTTTAAGCTAAGGCAGCTGAAGAAAAGAGGAAATTTGGGTTAAAACACAGGTTCTCCCAGTATTCTAAAGCCAGGATTGTTTTTGTGGCTGTTAAGTTTAAGATAGCTTTGAGATTCCTCAGAAATTTCTGACATCGTCACAAAGATTAGGAAGAAATCATTGAGTTAGAATCCATATGTATGATGTACATGTGAAATGGAAGGACATGCATTTGAATCTAGGACCTCCCTTTACTCACTGTTCATCTCTGAATCACACACCATGCTTTGTTACCTTGAGGACACCCAGACAAGCATTAGCATTGCTTATGGCAGCAACTGTTTTCTTTTCTAGACATCATAATTTCACCATAGTATATTGCTGTTGGACATACAAGATTGTTTTTTCACTTTGACCTCAGTTCCTCAATGATATCTAGGAAGAGCGGTATCTCCTTTATTGTCTTTTTTTTTTTCTCAGACAGCCTGTACATTTATTCATTTTTCCCCACCACCCTGCATCCCCTTATTTATTATCCCCTCCATCCTTAATCTCCAAGTCCTCAAGATATCTATTAATGTCCACTGGCTTTTGAAAATGCTTTATATTATTGCATTGTCTCTATGTAAATATCCAGTATTTTATTTATCTTTCTGATTTACTTTACTGCACATAATTCTCTGACATTCCCTCCATTTTATTGAAAATGACTAAATTTCATCCGTTCTTGTGGTTATATAATACTCCATGCTGTGGATAGTGGATCTAGTTATGTCTGTCTTCATTTAGGTTGCTTCCATGTCCTAGCTATTATAAAAAAATGTTGCTATAAACCCAGTATGGAACATACAGGGGTTTTACTGATAGTTTCAGTCTTTGGATATATGCCCAGGAGTGGGATTGCTGGTTTGTAGAGAATTACCATTTTTAGTTTTTAATGTAAATCCAAATTGATTTACATAATGGCTGTACAAGTTCACATTTTGAGAAACATTGTAATGTAGTTTCTTTTTCTCCACATCCTCTCCAGCACTTGTTTTGGGTCTTGTTAATATGTGCTATTTTTCATGGGTGTGAGATGTTATCTCATTGTGATTTTAATATGTATCTCTTTTATTAGAAGCAATGATGAACCTTTTTTTTCATTATCTTTTGGCCTTCAAGATATTTTATTTGGTTAATTATATGTTTATATCTGCTGCAAACTTATTAATTGGTTTATTTGCTTTTATTCAATTGTGTTTTTTATATATGTTGGATATTAGCTCCTTATCAGTTATATGTTGTTTATTTTCTTCACATTCATTTGGGTGCTTTTTAAATTTTTTGTATTTTCTTTCACTGTATATAAGCTTTTTCATTTGAGGTAGCCCCAGTTGTTTATTTTTGTTTTTAATTCCCCTGATAAAAGTCATATCCTTAATATCATGGAATATATCACCCGTGTTTTCTCCTTTGTATTTTATTGTCACAGGTCTTATATCTAAATTTGTAATCCATTTGGAGTTTCCTTTTGTGTATTTGGTTAGAAAGTAATCCAGCTTCATTCATGTATGTGTGGCTTTCCAATTCTCCCAGTACTGTAGTATTAAGATATATTAGTTGAGCTGGGACTACATCAAATTAAAGAGTTTCTGCACAGCAAAAGAGACAATAACAAAAACAAAGAGAAACCCCACCAACTGGGAGAACATTTTTGCACACAACACTAATGATAAAGGACTGATCACAAAAATCTACAAAGAGCTGATGAGACTCAATAAAAACAAAGAAAATAATCCAGTCAAAAATGGGCAGAAGAGCTAAAAAGAAACTTCTCTGAAGAGGAAATGCAAATAGCCAACAGACATATGAAAAAATGTTCAACATCATTTGTCATCAGGGAAATGCAAATCAAAACTACCATGAGATACCATCTTACACCAGTGAGAATGGCACATATTAAAAAAACTAGCAACAACAAATGTTGATGAGGTTGTGGAGAAAAAGGAACTCTCCTGCACTGCTGGTGGGAGTGCAAACTGGTCCAACCACTATGGAGAGCTGTGTGGAGATTTCTTGACCTACTAAACATAGAGCTTCCACATGATCCAGCAATTCCAATCCTAGGTATTTACCCAAAGGACACAGAAACATCAATTCCAAAAAGCACCTGCACCCCTATGTTTATAGCAGCACTGTTTACAATAGCTAAGCTTTGGAAACAACCCAAATGCCCAAAAATAGATGACTGGATCAAGAAGATGTGGTACATATACACCATGGAATATTACTCAGCATTCAAAAAAGATCAACACATGCAATTTGCAGTCACATGGATGGAGCTGGAAGGGATCATGCTCAGTGAAATTAGCAAGAAAGAAAAATAAAAATACCAGATGGTCTCACTCATAGCAGGAATCTAGAAAACTTAAATAAGGGACCAGGAAAAAGAATAACTATAAGAAAGAAAATATCAAAATCAACAAACAACTATGAACCAGAAACACTCTATGAGGGGGTGGAGGGCGGGGAAAGGAGGGCTTGGGGTCAAAATAAGGGGATTGTAATTGTATGGGGAATATAAAAATAAAATAAAATTTAAATTAAAAAAATTCAAAAAATTAAAATTAAAATTAAAAAAATAAATAAATAAAGATATATTAGTTGATACAATGTTTTAGTAAAACATTGGAGGGTGGTTCCCTGTCTTAATACATTGTCTACTTTAAGCTTAATCTCTTTAATGAATTCTGCAAAAAGTGGGTTAAAAGCCCATTTTAATTTTTAATGAAATATTCTTAGTCTATGAAACATTAAGAAATTTCACATTTGTTATTGATGATCATCTATGTCACTAAAATATGATCTATTCAGTTCATTTTCCCTAGCTGTTTCTTCTCATTCATGGCCTGTATCTGACCCATGGCTGTCTATTTGTGGCTTCTTACATCTCACCGGATGGAGAACCTGAAATAGAAACAAAAGAATATAAAGGTTGACAGCACCAAGGTCACATATGGGATCATGACAGTTAAAGATAAGATCAAGGATGTAGCAAGGCACTTAAATCATAGGAAGTAGGTGGCTATTAAAGGAGGAGAGAGGAAGCTATAGGTCAGGAACATTTAATGAAACAGAAAGTAAAGTTCTTATAAGACTTGTCCACATGGAGAAAGTTTCCTATTTTTTTTTTTAAATTGGCATCATAAGATGATAGAAAAGATGCATGAAGTGGACAACAAAGAGGGAGCATACTGAATTATTCAATGTTTTGTGTTCTTTGATGCAAATCACTCCTATTTTATGCATATCAGTTATATTTTGGTGAATTTAATGCTTGCTAAATCACCATAATCATACAACTTTTAAGTATAGGTTTTTGCAGGAAAGAATACATCATGAACACAGATCCCGCAAGTCATAGGTGCATACTTTAACCCTCCTTCATTTTTAAAAAGCACTTACCTGCCTCCTCAACATTTTTAGAAATACAGTTTCCTAAAAGAGGGTTTTCATTGAACAGTTATTATTATACATGTATATTACTGAACTGATTAAAATTCATGGAAATAAGATTCAGTGTAATATAATATTTAATTATGAAACACCTAGTGTCATTTTTTGTTCTTTGTGTGTGTACAGCCAGAATTTTATTTGTATTACTATTGAATTAACCAGAAAATTGCAATATAGGCCGAAGTCCTGGGAGATAATGATCATCTAAAAAAGACTCAGTCATTAGTTTTAAAATACAAATGATAAATGAATTTTTAGTTTTAGCATATATATATTTCATAATCTCTTGAATTCAATATATTTACAGATGTATAGTGGACTCTTTTGTGACATTTAAATTATTGTTTCCCCTTTTTTAGGTGGATCTTCTGGTCCCTACGAAAGTGACTGGTATCATTACACAAGGGGCTAAAGATTTTGGTCATGTACAGTTTGTGGGATCCTACAAACTAGCATACAGCAATGATGGGGAACACTGGACTGTGTACCAAGATGAAAAGCAAAGAAAGGATAAGGTAAGACATCCACGTGGTTTATAAGATGCAAAAGTGAGGGATTAAATTGTATACAAATCTGATTTGTGCTTATAGCATTGTGACAAAACTTATAGTCAAATATGTGATGTTATACCCTATAGAAAAATAAGCTGCTTTTCTGTCATTTTCTGTTATCAATTATCTAATATCCAACCATGTGTATAATCCAGTTTGTATTTTATAAAGCTGAATAATTTATTCTAAAAACACATGTAGATATTTATCACATGTAACTATTATTTTTATTAGCATATATTATTGCTATTATAAAAATTTTCTTTGAAGAAAAATATTTCAAAGGCTAACTAAAAGATTATAAGCATTTGATATTTCATTGACAATAAGGAATTTCAGAAATAGACAGTTTCTAAGCTATTCTATTTTTTAGAATTAAAACATAGGGTATTTCTCTGCTCAGTTTTCTCTGATTGTGTTTTAATTCAATTTTTGGGGTTTTTTGAACCTATTTACCTTTATCATCTCAAGATTTACTCATTTAGCATCTTAGGACACATTGAGAATATACACACATTTTGCATTTCAATAGTTGAAAAGTTAGCATAACTTTCGATATCACAGTTTAATTGGTAACACATATTTTCTAAGAGAACATAAAGTAATGATGTTTTATAATCTATGGCATCTTAGATTGAATATTTAGTATTATGTAAATTGTCTTTACATTTCTTTTTTGGCTATACAAAATGACTATAATACACAATATTTGTATGAGTGTATATATCAATCAAGTATTATAGCTAGGTGTTTTACCTTTACTTTCATATATCTTTTATTAGATGTGTTCTTCTAACATATCTAGCCTACAACAACCTAGCAATTAATTTTTGTGAGGTTGAATAAACTCTCTCTTATTGATTCTTAGTATTATTTGTATCTTCTTATCCATGGTTATTTTCCATTAAGGGAAAAAAGTCTTCAGTATTTGCAAGTTCAAATTCAACTGTAAGCTTTCATCTGAATAAATATAATAAATGAATTGACTATTTCAGAGAAAAACATGCTCCTCTGAAATGTCTTACACATGCACATTTCAAACAAAAATATTTACAAAGTTATCTAATTCCTTTTTGTGCTTTTCTGTCTTTATTGACTGCTTAGTTTTAATACATTTTGGGTGGGTGAGTGTGGAAGCCTGATATAGACCCAGAAATAAGATTACTTCAGAAAAAAACATTCTCAAAATAACAATTTTCTAGGTTTACTATAAGTTGAATAAATGAAATTCTAAAAAGGCGTGAATGACCTTTTTGTTTTTCATTAGTCATAACTGACTAAGCTTCAGGAAAGCTGTGTTAAGGAAAAATTATGTGTGTTCATAGCAGTCTCTAAATATATGTGTAAATGCATGTATATGTATTTGCATATGTGTGTATGCACACCAAGAGTCCATTGAGAAAAATAGATGCCTATTCTTTTCATTGAGATGTCAGCTTCTCACTTCATTTCCAGCACGTTCATAGCAATTGTTATTTTACTTAATAGCATATTTTTAAAGAAAATTCTACAATGAATCTATTGTAGTTGACCATGTGATAATATTATCTCCTTATACTCCTACATTATTTTTCTCATTCTTGTTTACAGTATTTTTCAACATTTAACTTGCTTTTATATTTCTCTACAACATGGATTCAAATGCATGTTTTATTTGAAAGTCAAATGTTCCTTTGCTGTCATGAAAGTGACATTTGTTTTATATTCTTGGAGCTTTATTTTACTGCAATTTGCAGGAAAATTGCAACATTTGACAGACACTCTTGGTATTTAATTTTTAAGGTCATAAGCCAAAGTAAAATAAAAATAAATTTTAGGAAGAGAACCTATATGGAAAATTTAGAAATGAGAAAGGATTTTCTCATCTAATACTTTAGTCATAGTGTCATGTTGTTTAAATAAATCTGAATTCATACATATAAACTTTCTTGTTTGCAGGGGGGGAAAAAGCAGGTCATGTTCTAGTTTGTTTCCCCCATCTCGAAATGTTCCAGTTTTTTTAAAAGCATAGGTTAAAAAAAAAAAATGTAACTTTATTCTGGATCTTCTGTGAAGGAAAATCCAAATAAGATTTTAGCCAGTGTTATCCAATAAGATCTCATTGATCCTTGAAGGTAAATGTCACATATTCAACAATAACTACACTATAATATCAGAGGAACTTTCTAATTGAGTTGTGACCAAATTTGTCTCATCTTAACACTCATGATGGAATTAAGAATTTCAGATTTCTTAACTCACTAGGGATGAGCTAGGAATCTAAATGTTTACCAAGGCCCCAGCTAATTTGAATAATAATCGAAAGTGAGAAATATGACTCTAATTGACCCCAAAACCAAAATTTAGTTTTTGAAACCAAGTGTAGGTTGTAAATTTCTAATCAGAATAGAATTTATTATAATTCTTTTTTTAAAGATTTATTTATTTATGCATACAAGAACTGAGGTACAGGCCAGAGGTGCAGGGGGCAGGGGTGAGAGGAATCACCAGAGAAAGAGTGGAGAACAGAACAAGTGGATTGACTGAAATACACTGCTGAGGGGAGCAGCAGGCGAGTCAGGAGAGGTCTGCTGCGCATGTGGGTAAGCCCCTCTGGCCGGGCATCAAATTCATGCTGCAGTGGCTGCAGATAGCTTCACAGTGCTGAATCTTAACCCCTTGCCCCTATTATAATTCTTTAGGAATTTGGTTGTCCCCTAATTTTTCAGTAGATGTCTGTATAAATCAGTCTTCAAAAGTAAGTTTAGATTATAATTAGGTTGCCAGTTATTTTATGAATACCAGAAAGTAAAAACATAGTAACTGGAATACACATCACATTTAAATAATAGATTTTAGTAGCAAGAAACATGGATTATGTAGGAAAGCATCTAGAAGAATATGACATTTATATTCACTCACTATGCGTTTAATAAGCTGTTATTGACACCACATGTGTGGGGTGGGGGGAACATCTGAATATGACATGATGACTCAAAGAACTCACAATCTAATGAGGAGCTCAGCAAAGGTGGAAAAACTTCTATTGAACTTGTTTTGAAGAATCAAAATATAACCTAGCAAGTATATAATCTGATAAAAGAAGTCTAGGGAAGAAGTAGCATAGCACGGAGGTTATGTCTATTTCATTAAAGTCTGTGACATTTCAGGATAAAACATGCCCTGTTCCTTCTCAGCTTCCTTTCTTCTTTCAACATGGATGTGAACAGTAGAAGCAGCAACATCGCCAGTGCTCAGTCATAAAGCCCCATAATCTGTATGGAAGATACATTGAAATTCAATGATAATTATAGATGTCATAGGACACCCTGTCACTATTGCTGAAGTTGGCCTCTCAGGCAGCTGAAGTTGAATTTAAATAGTTAAAGCCTGGAAAGTCCAGCAGAGGTCAGAGATTCTAGATTGTAAATTTCTAATCAGAATAGAATTTATTATAATTTTTAAAAGATTTATTTATTTATGCATACAAGAAATGAGGTACGGGGTAGGGGGAGAGCGGGTAGATTGAGCAGAGGTCAGAGCAGATGTCAATTCACAGTCATGCTGTTCTTTTGAAACTTGATCTGGGTGAGAAACTTTGAACCAAAAGAATCCCTTGTAAGGTAAATAAATGGAATGTTCCATGACTATCATACTGATTTTGGTACCACATTAAATTGGCAGTGTGTGAAACACAGATTTTTAAATTGTCAAAATGCACCACTTAACAGTTTAAAAAACACTCAACAATTTTGCATACATATGTTTTATGAGGGAATTGTCGATGTTGGAAATAATCTTAGAAATATGCATACCAACAGTTCAACATTAAATATATAATATAGCTAAACAAAAATCAAAATATAGTATTTTAATTCCTTTATATAAATTTAAGTATGCTACAAAATTATATAAACAATATATTTAATAATACAGCATTAATTGCATGTAAGACATACAATTCAAATTAAGAAAATGTACATTTAGAAAATCCATTCTTCATTTTGAAATCAAATCATGTGTACAAGATGTAGTTTATACACTAGAATCCCCTGTCATTGATTGATTAATATATTAAAAAATAGATGTATGCAATTATACATGTCTGAAATATAATATACTTTCATTAATATTGTTTAACAAAACATTTTTCAATGTAACAAAAAGAAGATGAAATGGTTTACACATATATAAGCATGCTTCTATAAAAATGTTGTCTTTGGAGTTATGACAATGGAAAATGATATACATCACACATGTAAATTGGAAAATTTATTTACTAGTAATCTTTACTTTAAATTTAGATTTTATATTGTATTATAATGAAAATTATGCTTGTGAATGCTCTTTTGGTGCAACAATATTCTGTAAGTGACTAAGCATAATTGATGTAAAGTGTTTTATAAATGTGTCATTCACAAAGTGTACCAAATAAAACTTCATGTCATAATTAAAAAAAAAAAGAAGGGATGCTAGCTGGGGCGAATCTTCCAAGGTGGAACAGCCACTTGTTTTGAGCTATAGGATCAAGGAAGGACAGATTCTTGCATGGAAACCATTAGTCTCATCCACTAAAAATCCCTTAGAATCCTGTTACTCTTTTCTGGTAAGGCTGAGGGAAAAAGAAGCTTCTTCTCTGAATGCAGTTTCCAAGAATTAATTGACTTTACACAAAACATTCAGATTCAAAAATAGCAAGTGAGTTGTGCCCCTATGTAGTAGAGATTCATATGTAGCCACAGTAGTCTTTTTGCTTAGGTTTTTGGCGAGTGATTTAATTGGAGCTAATCAGTTAAGGAGACAACGATATAGTTTCAGTGTTGTCTAAAAATAAGAAGTGTTATTTAAATAAACGCCATCTGGTATCAACCGCTATTTAGAATTTCATCTGCTTTCTTCCCTGTCGTAATTCAACAATATGGGATCTGCCTAGGATGTGCGTTGGTGTGAATTATTTAAAATTGTCTATATTCACTTCAAGATGG